AGCATGGTTTTCGATAGACCCCAGTCGTTCAAAAGTACAAAAAACAATTATAAGAGAGGCTAGGCAAAGTATAGCAAAAATGCATAAAGCATATATCACGGAGAAGCAAGCAATCTATATAATAAATAGTGTTATAATCACTAGACTATCATATAGATTATATAGTGCTTTTCTTACACCAAAACAGCTGGAGCAACTAATACGCGAATATACAGGCCTGGTAAAAAATAAAGCAAAAATCTCAAGGGATATCCCAAATTCCTCCTATATCATCAAAATATATACGCTCTAAAATACCTGCCACAAATACAACAATCACATCTATCATCGACCATAGTAAAGAACATTAATCATATTGACTTTGATAGGTCTTTTTTTAAAATCCGCCTGCAAGAGCTCCAGGACTCAACCCAATCAGACCAGTTAATTCTTCATTCATTACCTCTTTTTCCTCATAAAAAACTTAAAACCTATACTGCTCAAATGGTTTTAGCATTACACTCACTAGATATACAAATTTTTCGCAATGAACACAATGAATGGCCGATTCCTAGGAAAAACAATTGTGGTACCTTGATCAATGATATTCTACTACAACACCCTAAAGCACATATATTAAAGGAGAAATTGAATCTATATGAAGTAGTCTATGTTGAACAATTCCTTAACTATAATAATTCGAGGTTCCTAGATTGGCGAGGGTTTTACCACAACATTGGGAAGATCCCAACTGGGCGTATCCCTGCTTGGTTTACAGAAATTCAAGACTTAATTCGGTCAACAGAGAATCCTTCAACAAAGTTCATATGCCCCAATCCCTGCACTCTAAGAAAATGGGAATGCACTACTGGGCCTTGGGTAATTACAAACACAGCCATAATAGGAAAAGCCAGTGAATTCACAGAGGAGATTTTGAAGATCACTGTAATAAGAAATATGATATTTCAGAAAATAAAATTCTATTAGTTCATATTATTGTAGTCAAAGCAATAGAACTTGATTACAATAACTTATTAAAGTTACTATCAGAAGCAAGATAACTCATTTGTCAACTGACTTAACACCCCTAAAGTTTCACAATTATAAACAGCAGAACTTGATTATCGTAATGAGAAACAAGATTTCTCAGATAAAAAAAGCAAGATAACTCTCTTTGTCAGCTGACTTAACGCTTCTAAAGTTTCACAATTGTGAATAGCAGAACTTTATTTATTATAATAAGAAACAAGATATCTCAGGAAAAAAAAAAACAAGATAACTCTCTTTGTCAACTGACTTAGTGCCCCTAAAGTTTCACAATAGTAAATAATTTAAAGCAAGATATTCACAATAGTAAATAGCAGAACTTATTGGTTCATATTACTGCAGTTGAAGCAAGATAATTGTCAACTGACTTAACGCCCCTAAAGTTTCACAAAGCAAGATAACTCTCTTTGTCAACTGACTTAACACCTCTAAAATTTCACAATTGTAAATAGCAGACTTGATTATCATAATAAGAAACAAGATATCTCAGGAAAAAAAAAGAAAGATAACTCTCTTTGTCAACTGATTTAGCGCCCCTAAAGTTTCACAATAGTAAATAATTTAAAGCAAGATATTCACAATAGTAAATAGCAGAACTTGATTATCATAATAAGAAATAAGATATCTCAGTCAACTGACTTAACTTCCTAAAGTTTCACAATAGAACTTGATTATAATAACATATTAAAGTTACTGTCAGAAGCAAGATAACTCATTTGTCAACTGACTTAATGCTCCTAAAGTTTCAGCAGAACTTGATTATTGTAATAAAAAACAAGATTTCTCAAGAAAAAAAAGCAAGATAACTCCCTTTGTCAACTGATTTAATGCCCCTAAAGTTTCACAATTGTGAATAGCAGAACTTTATTTATTATAATAAGAAATAAGATATCTTAAGCAAGATAATTCTTTGTCAACTGACTTAACGCCTCTAAAGTTTCACAATTGTAAAATAGCAGACTCGATTATTGTAATAAGAAACAAAATATCTCAAGAAAAAACTCTCTTTGTCAACTGACTTAGCATCTCTAAAGCATAATAGTAAATAATTTAAAGCAAGATATTCACAATAGTAAATAGCAGAACTTGATTATCGAAGATTATTGTAATAAGAAGTTTAAAAAAGTGTTTTTTTTACCTGGCTTGTAAGTAGAATCCTTTGTCAACAAAAAAGCAATCCCTATAATAATATAATAAGAAAAAAAACAAAGCAAAATTTTTCTATATATTTATAGCAAAACATGATTATCAAAGATTACTGTAATTACAGAGTTAAATCTTCAATTACCAAAATGATTAAAATGAAACAAAGTCTGAATAGTTAAATCTTGTTTAAATATATCCAGATCATGCATATCTCTGATAAAATTTTAGCCGAATTTTATTCTTTTAACCTGAATGAAGTTGGGATATTAAGCATATACTATATTAACTATCAACTATTAACTATTCTTACTGAATTCGAAATTCATTTTTGCATATTCTAATTTTGCCCAAATTTGTATTTTAATTAATTCTGCCTAAATTTATCTGCACAAAATTTATACTCTATTTATATTTAATTCTGCCAAAATTTATTGCCCAAATTTATATTCGATTTCTGCCCAAATTTATAATAAATACAAATTTAACTTTACGAGCATGATAGAAAATCCATTTGATTAGTTGTCAGGTAATACGACGAAGATAGTATAAATTAAATTAATTTAATTCACCTCTGGAGTGCACTAGAGTACTCCATTAACAACCCTATCTATAGACATTCATTAAATAAAAAATGCTCTGCTAATAATCTTACTATGACTTCATTCTTCGAGAATCAACTACTGACTTGAATTCTGATTCTGACTAGGAATTTTGAGATCACCCTGTATGAGTTTTTTATGAATGGTTAATCATCTTTTGCAGATCTTATTAAAAATTAGAATATTTTAAATTAGAGGGTTTTTATATTAGTATAATGATAACAATAAAATTTATACTATTGTATTTCTAGTTAAAAAAAAAATAGTTCAATGATTTAATTTGTGCAGAATTCTGATATAAATTTGAATACAAATTTGGAGTATAAAATTTGGCATATTTTAGAGTTTAATTTAGGCAGAATTCGAATATAAATTTGGCAGAATTAGAGTGTAAATTTTGGTGAATTAGAATATAAATTTGAATATAAATTGCCAGATTTAGAGTATGAATTTTGGCAGATTTATAGACAGAATTAGAGTAAAAATTTTAGGCCATCGATACGATAATGCCATAATATAGTGCAACATGACTGTTATCGTGCAAAGATTAAACAGTAATTTCTCAACAAATTTGTACAGATCCAAAAAAATTGCTATTGTTATAGAATAAGTCTTGTAATTTTGGTAAAAATTAGTTAAAAAATTAGAACTTAATAAGAAAATTTTGTAATAACTGTATTTAGTAATAGTGATAGGCAGAATTGATATGCAATGATACTCAATGATGCTTAATGATGCTTAGTGATGCTTAATGACGCTTAGCGATGCTTAAAGACGCTTAGCGATGCTTAATGACGTTTAATGACACTTTATGATGCTTAATAATGCTTAGCGACACTTAGCTCAATAGATATATAAACCCATCTTATTTCCCTTAATTTTAGACAGATCCAGACATTGTATTTTATATTTATCGTTATACTTATTACCCTCCTCTATTATTATTAATAAACTCTTGGGATTTCTAAAGAACAGACATCTTGGAATAGCCCTCTTGTTAAATTAATAAACTGTCTATTATTTCTTGTTGTTTTATACCAACTGCTTTAGAGAAGTGTGTAGTTTTTTACAGACATAAAAGAAACTATACTTCTCTCTTGCACACCGCTTCAAGCCTAAAGTAAGGGATCTTAGGAGCCATGTGATTGTTACCTTATAAGAATTTAAGAAGGCTTCTGGTACTGTAACATTTGGTGCCTTTTGGCAGAAGCCTTTAAAAATAAACCGGAAAACCTATTTAAATTAATGGATATTATTGAAGAACTTGAAACTCTTATTATTACTTTTGGCAGAAATATTTATTTTTTTGGCTGTTATTAACTCTCTTGCTATTAATTGCACTCTTGTTATTCTCTTACTACTTATTTGAAATTTTCTTTTTGTTGAATATTAACTACTTACTATACTTTAGAGATTAAAACTTTGCTAACAACTTACTACTAACCTTTTGGAGATATCTTTTTTTTTTATTTACCATTTTTTGTTGTTTTCTTAAGACTGGGAACTAACTTTTCTATATGAATAGAGCATATGAACTATATTTAGAACAAATTAAAGTACACAAAACAAGTCACCCTTCATTGCTTGCTATAGACATTTTACAAGCCTATCATCCTGATTTATCCTGTATTATCTGTTACCCTGTTGTTAACTTACACTGTCCCTTCCGACGATTTTGGGGAACATATCGAGACAACTATTTTGCTATCACATATTCTCAAAAGACAAATGATGCTTACCGTGTTCTAGTTACTGCCACTGATTATAACACTGCCAGAGCTGCTGCCAAAGATATTATTTTTAGCTGCTGTTATAAAAATGACCTTTTAGACCCCAAAGAAATTATTGCTGGTCTACTCCTTGAACACACCTCTTATACTCTTGCACCTACCTTACCTTTCGATTTTGAGGCTACACTACTTGCCTTCACATTGAGGATCTTCTTTCTTCTACTCCTTCTTATACTTGACCAAGAACTGAAAACCTTTTATTTGATTTCCAAAATCAATTAGAAAGAACTAACTTAAACCTTGATACCTCTCCACCCAGATCTATATATATCTTAGGCCCTGAACAATTAGCTAACACTAGTGCTGGTTCTTCTACTGATACTTATATACTAATTCCCCAACGACCTGAGTTTCCTTTCTTGCCTATCTCAGAAATTCCACATCATTATATTAGAGACCCTACTCCTCCTCCACAACAAAATCATTTTCTTCGCTTATTACAACAAATATTTTCTTCTGCTACCCGCACAACTGCTCCTCCACTTCCTCCTATAACTGAATATTATTCTACTGTTAATTTAGATATCACTGTTACTCCATGCCATACACCTCTATTACTTAACACACCTCCTCTTAACACTCAAAATTTAATTGATCCTTTTGACCATTATATACAAAACCAAGATGCTACTATTGTTAGACCTGACCCTCCTCAATGATTCAAGGAAATAAATTTACAACCTATTGCTGAAGAATTAAATCCTATTTTACCCTATTCAACCAGAAAATCTAATGAGAGATCAAGCTTTACAAGTTGCGCACAAGCCATAACTGATCTTGCTGCTGCCCTCAGGCAAGGCTCTGAGAAAACTCTTAAAACTGTTACAGATTTTTATGAGGATGGAACTTAAGACCCTGCTAACTGGTTAAAGAAATTTAGAAGAGCTGCTACCACTAATAAATGGAGTGCTGCACAAAAGCTTTAACTTGCTCCTGTATACCTTAAGGGAGTTGCATTAGTCTGGTACCAGGCTTTAAATCCACAACCTAATGCTTTTAATAACAATGGCAACCAGGACTGAAGTTTTTAGCATCTTTTTAAGGCCTATTTCTACACACCAAGCAAAAGGCTGTCTGACAAAAACAGCTTTTCGATATTAAGCAAGGATCTACTAAAACTGTGGATGGATATATCAACAGATTTCGTATATTACAAAGAAAGTGGACCCAGACGATATCTTTCTGGCTGACTTCGTTAAACAACTTTTTATTCAAGGCTTGCGTCCTGAGTATGCCGTTAATATTCAAGCTGCTGTCTCTAATACCTTGGATAATGCCATTGAAGTAGCCCTCCGATGGGAAACTGGGAAATTAATAACTACTCCTTCTGCCAATACGGACCAAGCCATTCAACAACTTACAGACCAAATTGCTAAGCTTAGTATTAACTTGGCCCAGACATAGACTACACCTACCTTTTCTGTTAATTATGCTGACAACTGTGCCCAAACCCCTGAATAAAAGAGCCCCCTATTTGTTATTATTGTAGATGCACTAGATATTTTATTTGTGATTGTAATAGTAGAAAACAAGACCAATGACAAGGATCCAACTCTCACTATAATAATAATAATAACAATAACTGGAACAGGAATAACAACCAGAATAGGGGCCAAAATGGACGCACTTCTGATCACTATTCCAATAACAGAGACCGTTCTTGCAGTTGCAATAATTAACAGAAAAGGTAGGTGTAGTCTATGTCTGGGCCAAGTTAATACTAAGCTTAGCAATTTGGTCTGTAAGTTGTTGAATGGCTTGGTCCGTATTGGCAGAAGGAGTAGTTATTAATTTCCCAGTTTCCCATCGGAGGGCTACTTCAATGGCATTATCCAAGGTATTAGAGACAGCAGCTTGAATATTAACGGCATACTCAGGACGCAAGCCTTGAATAAAAAGTTGTTTAACGAAGTCAGCCAGAAAGATATCGTCTGGGTCCACTTTCTTTGTAATATACGAAATCTGTTGATATATCCATCCACAGTTTTAGTAGATCCTTGCTTAATATCGAAAAGCTGTTTTTGTCAGACAGCCTTTTGCTTGGTGTGTAGAAATAGGCCTTAAAAAGATGCTAAAAACTTCAGTCCTGGTTGCCATTGTTATTAAAAGCATTAGGTTGTGGATTTAAAGCCTGGTACCAGACTAATGCAACTCCCTTAAGGTATACAGGAGCAAGTTAAAGCTTTTGTGCAGCACTCCATTTATTAGTGGTAGCAGCTCTTCTAAATTTCTTTAACCAGTTAGCAGGGTCTTAAGTTCCATCCTCATAAAAATCTGTAACAGTTTTAAGAGTTTTCTCAGAGCCTTGCCTGAGGGCAGCAGCAAGATCAGTTATGGCTTGTGCGCAACTTGTAAAGCTTGATCTCTCATTAGATTTTCTGGTTGAATAGGGTAAAATAGGATTTAATTCTTCAGCAATAGGTTGTAAATTTATTTCCTTGAATCATTGAGGAGGGTCAGGTCTAACAATAGTAGCATCTTGGTTTTGTATATAATGGTCAAAAGGATCAATTAAATTTTGAGTGTTAAGAGGAGGTGTGTTAAGTAATAGAGGTGTATGGCATGGAGTAACAGTGATATCTAAATTAACAGTAGAATAATATTCAGTTATAGGAGGAAGTGGAGGAGCAGTTGTGCGGGTAGCAGAAGAAAATATTTGTTGTAATAAGCGAAGAAAATGATTTTGTTGTGGAGGAGGAGTAGGGTCTCTAATATAATGATGTGGAATTTCTGAGATAGGCAAGAAAGGAAACTCAGGTCGTTGGGGAATTAGTATATAAGTATCAGTAGAAGAACCAGCACTAGTGTTAGCTAATTGTTCAGGGCCTAAGATATATATAGATCTGGGTGGAGAGGTATCAAGGTTTAAGTTAGTTCTTTCTAATTGATTTTGGAAATCAAATAAAAGGTTTTCAGTTCTTGGTCAAGTATAAGAAGGAGTAGAAGAAAGAAGATCCTCAATGTGAAGGCAAGTAGTGTAGCCTCAAAATCGAAAGGTAAGGTAGGTGCAAGAGTATAAGAGGTGTGTTCAAGGAGTAGACCAGCAATAATTTCTTTGGGGTCTAAAAGGTCATTTTTATAACAGCAGCTAAAAATAATATCTTTGGCAGCAGCTCTGGCAGTGTTATAATCAGTGGCAGTAACTAGAACACGGTAAGCATCATTTGTCTTTTGAGAATATGTGATAGCAAAATAGTTGTCTCGATATGTTCCCCAAAATCGTCGGAAGGGACAGTGTAAGTTAACAACAGGGTAACAGATAATACAGGATAAATCAGGATGATAGGCTTGTAAAATGTCTATAGCAAGCAATGAAGGGTGACTTGTTTTGTGTACTTTAATTTGTTCTAAATATAGTTCATATGCTCTATTCATATAGAAAAGTTAGTTCCCAGTCTTAAGAAAACAACAAAAAATGGTAAATAAAAAAAAAAGATATCTCCAAAAGGTTAGTAGTAAGTTGTTAGCAAAGTTTTAATCTCTAAAGTATAGTAAGTAGTTAATATTCAACAAAAAGAAAATTTCAAATAAGTAGTAAGAGAATAACAAGAGTGCAATTAATAGCAAGAGAGTTAATAACAGCCAAAAAAATAAATATTTCTGCCAAAAGTAATAATAAGAGTTTCAAGTTCTTCAATAATATCCATTAATTTAAATAGGTTTTCCGGTTTATTTTTAAAGGCTTCTGCCAAAAGGCACCAAATGTTACAGTACCAGAAGCCTTCTTAAATTCTTATAAGGTAACAATCACATGGCTCCTAAGATCCCTTACTTTAGGCTTGAAGCGGTGTGCAAGAGAGAAGTATAGTTTCTTTTATGTCTGTAAAAAACTACACACTTCTCTAAAGCAGTTGGTATAAAACAACAAGAAATAATAGACAGTTTATTAATTTAACAAGAGGGCTATTCCAAGATGTCTGTTCTTTAGAAATCCCAAGAGTTTATTAATAATAATAGAGGAGGGTAATAAGTATAACGATAAATATAAAATACAATGTCTGGATCTGTCTAAAATTAAGGGAAATAAGATGGGTTTATATATCTATTGAGCTAAGTGTCGCTAAGCATTATTAAGCATCATAAAGTGTCATTAAACGTCATTAAGCATCGCTAAGCGTCTTTAAGCATCGCTAAGCGTCATTAAGCATCACTAAGCATCATTAAGCATCATTGAGTATCATTGCATATCAATTCTGCCTATCACTATTACTAAATACAGTTATTACAAAATTTTCTTATTAAGTTCTAATTTTTTAACTAATTTTTACCAAAATTACAAGACTTATTCTATAACAATAGCAATTTTTTTGGATCTGTACAAATTTGTTGAGAAATTACTGTTTAATCTTTGCACGATAACAGTCATGTTGCACTATATTATGGCATTATCGTATCGATGGCCTAAAATTTTTACTCTAATTCTGTCTATAAATCTGCCAAAATTCATACTCTAAATCTGGCAATTTATATTCAAATTTATATTCTAATTCACCAAAATTTACACTCTAATTCTGCCAAATTTATATTCGAATTCTGCCTAAATTAAACTCTAAAATATGCCAAATTTTATACTCCAAATTTGTATTCAAATTTATATCAGAATTCTGCACAAATTAAATCATTGAACTATTTTTTTTTTAACTAGAAATACAATAGTATAAATTTTATTGTTATCATTATACTAATATAAAAACCCTCTAATTTAAAATATTCTAATTTTTAATAAGATCTGCAAAAGATGATTAACCATTCATAAAAAACTCATACAGGGTGATCTCAAAATTCCTAGTCAGAATCAGAATTCAAGTCAGTAGTTGATTCTCGAAGAATGAAGTCATAGTAAGATTATTAGCAGAGCATTTTTTATTTAATGAATGTCTATAGATAGGGTTGTTAATGGAGTACTCTAGTGCACTCCAGAGGTGAATTAAATTAATTTAATTTATACTATCTTCGTCGTATTACCTGACAACTAATCAAATGGATTTTCTATCATGCTCGTAAAGTTAAATTTGTATTTATTATAAATTTGGGCAGAAATCGAATATAAATTTGGGCAATAAATTTTGGCAGAATTAAATATAAATAGAGTATAAATTTTGTGCAGATAAATTTAGGCAGAATTAATTAAAATACAAATTTGGGCAAAATTAGAATATGCAAAAATGAATTTCGAATTCAGTAAGAATAGTTAATAGTTGATAGTTAATATAGTATATGCTTAATATCCCAACTTCATTCAGGTTAAAAGAATAAAATTCGGCTAAAATTTTATCAGAGATATGCATGATCTGGATATATTTAAACAAGATTTAACTATTCAGACTTTGTTTCATTTTAATCATTTTGGTAATTGAAGATTTAACTCTGTAATTACAGTAATCTTTGATAATCATGTTTTGCTATAAATATATAGAAAAATTTTGCTTTGTTTTTTTTCTTATTATATTATTATAGGGATTGCTTTTTTGTTGACAAAGGATTCTACTTACAAGCCAGGTAAAAAAAACACTTTTTTAAACTTCTTATTACAATAATCTTCGATAATCAAGTTCTGCTATTTACTATTGTGAATATCTTGCTTTAAATTATTTACTATTATGCTTTAGAGATGCTAAGTCAGTTGACAAAGAGAGTTTTTTCTTGAGATATTTTGTTT